GGAAGTTAGCTGGGGTGGGTGGGCCGGGTAGAGTGGGAGGAAAAAGCTCTCTACACCCGAGGCTCCTCTGGCGGTCTAATAATCAGACAGACATGAGACAGAGTAGCAATAGAATGTAACCAAACTTGAGATGCATATATGTTTGGGAACCCTGCACACATGTGCCACAGACCCGCACATGCACGAGAGGATCAGAGCTAGAAGGGAACATGGGGATATAGGACATCCTGAGCCAGGGACAGGTAAGGCACCTTGGGGGCTTCAAAGGCTGTTGCAGGTTGATAAGAAGAGCAGAGGCTTAGTAAATAGAAACTTGTTCTGCCCTAGAGATAGGTCACAACAAGTTACTGCTGATAATTTTTTACTAAGGGCAAGGCCGCTGACTCAAGTTCTTCCAGGTAGTTAAGGGAGGAGCAGAAGTGTCTCTGGAGCCTAAGGCTAAAGCTGCCTTTAGCTCAAAACCCTCTGCATACCACTGAAGCACATCTTGGGGTCAGTTGATCTGGACCCCCACAGTAAGAACAGGCAGAGCCTGGCGCTGGCTCTGAGGTCTAAGGCCCCTGCTCCCTGGGCCCCACTCCCACTTCTGGGGAGTCCCCCCAAGGTGTTGACACAGGTCTGTCCCTCATGCTCTCTCCTTCCCCATGCAAGCCTGTCTGGACCCTGCCTGGGGTGGGCACAGGGTGCAGTGGTCGCCTCCCTGTAATAGAAGGTTCCAGCAGAGGGAACCAAAGCTCAGGGCCCCACCTGGAGGACACCACCATTAGTTCCCCGCACAGACTGAAAACCCAGGAGAGTTCTGGATGCCTGCCTCCCAGCCCTGCCCATTCGACTCTATCTCTGACAGCAGACACCCAGGTGTCTCCTCAGAGGCCTGGCATCAGCCCACCCGCCCACGAGCCCTGGCCTGCCCCACGAGGCCTTGCAGCCCACGCCGTCCCTGTCTGTCTCCCAGCCTCCCCATTGCTATCTGCCTGCTCCAAACCCAGGGTCTCAGCACTTCCTGTGGCTCCTGCCCCCGTGGGCTAACACAGCCCGCCCTCGGTAGAGGGGAATTTTTGCAGGCACGTCACCGCTTGTCCCCCTTCCAACCCTGCAGTGCTGGGAGGACGGGCTGTCTGTGCCCAGTACTTGTGTCCCCACTGCAGAATCTGCCTGTGGCCGGGCTCAGCACAGAGGATGAGTGAACGCAGAGGGGTGGTACCCACCCTGCACTTAGGCTGCTCAACCCACCAGCCGGCTTCCCTGACACCCTGGCAGGGAGATTGGGTAGGGGATCCGATCTAGGGCCACAGGGTGCAGGTCTGGGCTCCTGGGCAGTGAGGGGCTGGGACCTACAGACCCCAGACAAGTCCCCAGGCCCTGGCACGTCCCTGACCGTAAACAGGCAGGTTGCGTCTTGAAGAATGTGCCTGTAGGGCAGCTGGGTGGGCTTGGAAGGGGCCTCTGGGCCCTGCTGTTCTCAGCTGTGTCCCACTTACTGTTGTGGGGTGAGGTCAGGGGCCCTTGGCTTGCCCACACCCTTGCCCCAGGCCCAGGGCAATCACCCCCCTTTCGTGGTTCTGCCCCTACTACATATGTGTGGGTAGATACAGCAACGTGAAAAACAGAGGAAGGGGGGCACCCCCTGCAGGGTGGGGGCAGGGCCCAGGCCCATCTGCTCCTCAGGCCCAGCAGAGAGCCCTAGGCTAGGGCCAGGGGTGAGGTCAGAGGCCCCGGGAGCTGCCCTTTTCCTTGGGGTCAACATGACTGCAGTGAGCTGGGGACAAAAGGCCCTTCTTCTCTTCAGAGGCCTGGACTGTGCGGAGGAGGGAGCGGGCTCAGACCGGGTGGGGGCAGGGCGGGGCCTGCAGCCTTGCCCCTGGATTTCCCGGAACCCTCTCCACCTGCCTGTGGACAGACAGGCGGGGTGGCCAGCTCCAGGAAGTGATGCATTGGGGCTCCCATCTGAGTCAAGGCCATCAGGCCAAGGCCAGGACCAAGCAGGGCTGGGCCCCCTTGGGGGTGGGGGGGAACGACCTGGGGGCCCCGGGCTGGCTGTGATCTGGCGCCTCTGTTCTTCTCTGGCCCCTCCTCGCCCCCAGCCTGCCTGCCTTCAGAGAGGAGCTTTCCGGACCATTATATTTATATTTCCTCTGGCGTCTGCCTCAAGCTCAGCCCTGGCCCTGACCACTGCACCCCTGGCTGACCCTAGCTCCCTGGGGACTCTCTGTCTGGCCATGTCTCCCTAGGGCAAGGGTGGGGGCTGCAGGACACAGAAACAAGATTTGGGGTCAGGGAGCAGAGCCGATGATGAAGAAGCAGGGGAGCCCTGGCCAGTTTGGCTCAGCGGTTGGAGCGTCGGCCCGCGGTCCGGAGAGACCGGGGTTCGGTTCCCGCTAAGGGCACGTACTTCGGTTGCAGTTTGTCCCCGGCCCTGGTTGGTCGTGCGGGTGGCAGCCACTCGATGTGTCCCTTTCACGTCGATGTTTCTCTCTCTCTCTCTCCCCCTTCCTCTCTCTCCCTCCCACTCTATCTGTACAAAAAATGGAAAAAAAAAAAAAAAAAAGAAGCAGGGGAGTCTTCTGAGGGTCAGGTGGGAGCTCAACCCGAGCAGCAGAAGTGACTCCAGGCAGAGCTGAGGAGGAGCCCCCTGCCAGGGCTGGGTAGAGGCCCTGGCTGAAGACTACTGATGCTGAGACTCTCATCCCTTCTTCCTCTGATGCAGAGGCTGGAGGCAGGAGGGCAGCTGCTTCCTCAAGGGCTTGAGTCGCAGCCAAGAAGACCCGCTCAGTTTTTCCAGAAGGGACGGAAACTTCCCTGTCAGCCCTGCAACACAGGCCTTGCTGGGGCCCGCCCGTTGGGCAGGAGTGGGGGACAAACAGGGAAGCCACGGCCGTGCCACAGGGGGGACCCACCATGGCCCAGCTCCCTGCCCTAGGTGGGTGGTACCCAGGGAGATGGAGGATGAACCAAGAAGTGTTTGTATGTGTCTACATGAGTGTGTCACCCCTGGGGCCCCCTGGGCCTCCTCCAGCTGTTGCTGCGGCCTGACCTTGGCCTCTGCTCACAGTCCCCATCTCCCCAGCAGCCCTGGGTAGCCGCACATGCTGGGGAGCTGGGGGCCAAGCAGAGCTTCTCTGGGCAGCACACCCTGGACTTTGGGGGGCCCAGCCCATTGCTCCCCTCATGGGGCCCAGGCGGAAGCACCAGGCAGTTTCTGGTCCCCGCCGAGGCCTGAGGTCTGTGGAGCTGAGCCAGCATGGCCACTGCCAAGATTCCCGGGGAGGGGTGGGGGCGGCGGGGACACAGTTCTCATTTTGTTCCTGCCCCTGCTCCTCAAGCTCAGCTGAACTGCTTCCTTTTTTAGGCAAAGTGGAACTCGGCCTGTCTGCAGCTTCTCACCTGCCAGAAAGGGAGGAAGGAAAACCACTGAGTCCCATCCTGACCTGCAGAGCATCCCCCCGGGAGGGTGGGAAGGGAGGGAACATCCTGGCAGAGTGGCCTTGGGGGGGTCTGTGCCCCCAACTCCACAGAGAGGAATGGCTGGGAGGGGGTTACGCCTCAGAAGGCATCTTAGGAGTGAGGGGTCTGGGCAGGCTCTCCTCAACCTCAGCTCCTGCCCAGGGGGCACTGCCCTCCCCAACCTAAGGGCAGGAAATCTGCCCTGGGGGGCTAGTACCCCTTGGGATGCCCCCTGCAGCCAGCCATTTCTGGTTTGACCTAGCAAGGCTCAAAGGGCTCACCAGCAGGACCCTCCGGAGGGGGACTCCAGTGGGTTGCTGGGGGTCTGTCCTCAGATGTGGAGTTTGACGCAGCCCGGTCTACGCCCCTTATTGGGCCGGGTGTATGGGGACAGCAGTAGGTCTAGCATGGTCACACAGGACAGGCCTGAACCAGCATCCCCAGCTCCCATACCTTTTCTTCCAAGAAGCCAGGTGGGGTGGGGGTTTGTGTCCCCCCAAAAGCCCACCTTCGGGTCTCAGGTTTCTGTGCTATGTCCAATGCTCTGTGTCTTTTCTTTTTTTTAATCCTCATCTGAGGATATTTTTCTATGTATCATCAGATAGAGTGGGAGAGAGGAAGTGGGGGGGAGAGAGAGAGAAACATTGATGTGAGAGAGACACATTGACTGGTTGACTGCCACGCAACCTGACCAGGGCCCAGACAAACCGCAACCGAGGTACATGCCCTTATTGGAATTGAACCCATGACTCATTGGTCTTCGGGCCGATGCTCTAACCATTGAGCGAAACTGGCCAGGGCTTTGTGTCTTTTCTAAATTCAGCCCTTCCAATCCCCATTGGCCAGTTCCTGGGGACACAGTCTCAGTCGCGGCACACCTCCCCACCCCCAGCCCTGTGGCCCGATGGAGGCTAGGGCCTGGGCCTTGTTAGGGGTACCTTGTTCTTGGTGTCACCCCTACCCTTTCACACCTCCTGGGTCCTGGGGCCTGGCTTCAGGGACTCCCAGCCCTGCGACAACCTGGGCAGTGGGCATGTAGATGACCCGACTTAGGGGCCCATCTGCTCCTGGCTGGGAGCAGGGGCAGAGCAGACCCCACTGTCTCATAGCTGTAAAGAAAGACCACAGTGTCCTCCAGCCAGTGTGACTCAGTGGACTGAGTACTGTCCCATGGACTGCGAGGTGCCGATTCAATTCCTGGTCAGGGCACATGCCTGGGTTGCGGGCTGGATCCCCAGTAGGAGGTGTGCAGGGGGCAGGCAATCAGTGTTTCTGTCTCTCCCTTTCTCTCTCCAAAGTCCAAAAAAAAAAGAAAAAGAAAGACTGCAGTATCTGTGTGCACACACGCCCAGAGTGCGCGTCTGGGTCCCTCTGTAAGCGCGCTCCCCCGAGTCTGTGCGCCCCGGCTCGCGGCTGAGCGCGCGCCTCGGGGCGGGGCCTCCGGGGCGGGGCCTCCGGGGGCGGGGCCCGGGTCCAGCGAGTGCGGCGACGCGTGTTGCCGCCCAGGAGCGAGCCAGCGAGAGGCCGACGGAGTCCGAGCGCGGCGGGTTCCGTCGGGCGCGATGCTGCTCTGGACGGCGCTCGGCCTGGCCCTGAGCCTGGCGCTGGCGCTGGCGCGGAGCGGCGCGGAGAACGGTGAGTGCGGCGGCTGGCGGACCTGACTCCGGCACCCCCACCCCGCTGCCCTCGCGGGGCAGTCGCTCTCCTCCCGCGGCCGCGGGGCGGGGGCGGCCGGCGCGGCACCCCACCCACCTGCATTGGGCGGACCCAGATGCCCCAGGCGGCTCCACCGAGCGAGCGCCGGGACGTGGAGGCCGCCATCTGCTCCGTCGGCGTCTCCACCGGATCGTGGGGCCTGGACGGGAGGGGTGGTGTGTGCCGGGAGGCTGTTCCTGCCTCAGTTTCCCTCTCCTTGGAATGACCCTTAGTGGAGGAATGACAAGCAGGTTGGAGTCGCCCCACCGAATTAGGGAAAACTGAGGCTCCAAGGCCCAGACCAGAACTCAGAAACCCCAGTCCTCGTCTGCAAATGGCCCAGTGGTGGAGGGGCCCATCTATCCCATGGGGGTGCCGAGGGAAAGGGGGAGGCCCGGGAGGCGCTGGTGGAACCTTCAGGCTGCTGCATCAGGTAACTTGCTTCCTGGGTCCAGATGGAGCAGAGGATGGGGGCCAGGGGAGGGTGACATCATCTGTAAGTGGGGTTAAAACTTCAGCCTGGCCATCTGGGCTGTGGGAGGGGCTGTGATCAGTGCTCTGTCTCCCCTATCTCCCCACCTCTGCCCACAGTCTTCCCAGCTGCTGTGCCCCCCCCCCCCCATGTCCACCTGTTGCCTTACTCCGGGCTGAGCTGTATGGCTGAACTCCAGCCTGGGGGCTGCTTCTCTGGAAGACAAGCCTGAGGGAGCAGCCCCTATCCGCCCAGGCCTGCCCACTTGGCACTCCTGAGCACTGGGCCAGGACCCTTGGCTCCAGCTAGCTTGCAGTCTGCTGAGGAAAGGGAGGGTGTGGGGGCTTGGAGGAGTCAGCTTTCCTTTACAGATATGAGATGTAAGCTTGGAAAGTGGCTGGGGTGCAGAGTTGGGACCCATTGAGAGTGTGGACCTCTTGTTGGCTCAGGACCCCTCTGCCCCCTGGATGCCACCCCCAGGACCTTTGGGGGTGGGACTGAGCAGGCTTTTAAGGCCTATTTGGGTGAAGGCAAGTGCCTGCTTAGGGAAAGCTCAGGCCCTTGGGGTTCTGCCAAGGGTGTGGGGCTGTCTGGGAGCCACCACCTGGGGCTGAACCCTCCCTCTCTTCCCTAGGGCCCCAGGCATCAGCCCCCCAGGGAGACCTGCTCTTTCTGTTGGACAGCTCGGCCAGCGTGTCTCATTATGAGTTTTCCCGAGTTCGGGAGTTTTTGGGGCAGCTGGCAGCCCCACTGCCCCTGGGCCCTGGGGCCCTGCGTGCCAGCCTGGTGCATGTCAGCAGCCGGCCACACACCGAGTTCCCCTTTGGCCAGCACAGCTCAGGTGCGGCTGTCCAGGATGCCATACGTGCTGCAGCTCAGCTCATGGGCAACACCAACACTGGCCTGGCGCTGGCATATGCCAGGGAGCAGCTGTTTGCAGAAGCTGCAGGGGCCAGGCCGGGGGTGCCCAAGGTACTGGTGTGGGTGACAGATGGTGGCTCCAGAGACCCCGTGGGGCCCCCCATGCAGGAGCTGAAGGACCTGGGCGTCACCGTCTTTATCATCAGTACTGGCCGAGGCAACCTCCTGGAGCTGTCAGATGCCGCCTCGGCCCCTGCTGAGAAGCACCTGCACTTTGTGGATGTGGACGACCTGCACATCATTGCCCAGGAGCTGAGGAGCTCCATTCTCGGTAGGTGGGAGGGAGCGGGTGACCCCTGCTAGAATCCAGGAAGAGGGGCCAGGGCTGCAGGACATTGATGCTCCCCAGGGGTTCATCCTGGAGGTGCCCCACCACCTGGGCTGTGGAGGGATAGGGGCAGGCCTGTGTAAACAACTCCAGGTGGGGCTCTCTCTGATGGGTCCAGCCCATTGCTGGAGGCCACATGGAGTTGGGGGCCTGGTTTGGGCTCATGGACTGAGGGCTGCACTGGTGGGGTGTGGCCGAGTGGTGAGGAAGAGGAAGGAGGTTCCAAGCCCGAGGACTCTGCAGGTGGGTAGCAGGTGGTCCTGTACGTGTGCCAGAGCTCACCATGCCTGGAGCTGGGAGCCAGGTCAGGAGGGGCTGGGACGGCCTCCATAGGGCTCTACTTCACCTCAGTGCTCCCCAGGGTAAGGACAGCTAGAGGGCTTTAAGCAGGTTTGCTAGCAGCTCCCCAAAGTTTTTCTTCTGAACTCCTGATCCAGCCAAAGTGCACTGAGGGCAGGACTGGAAATGGAGGGCCTGGTCACTGCTCAGCCTGCTGGTGCCCCTGAAAAATGCCACTAACCCCAGGGTTCTTCCCAAGTCTCTACCTGTCGGTTAATCATCCACCTGAAACCAGAGGGGTTCGACTGTAGGTTGCAGAGGGGTACAAGGTGCCCCTGGATGCCCCAGGTCAACCACTGTAGCTGAGCCTGGAGGGGACAGCAGGAGGAAAAGTAAGCCACTAGACAGGAAAAAGGGAGGCTGCAGGGCAGTCAGGCAGTGTGGGGGGCTCCTGGGATTGGGAGTGGGTCTGTATGTGGGGGATGGGCAGGAGAGTGAGTGCCAGGCTGGCAGTTGGGGATGTCAGCATTAGAAAAGGAAACAACAGGATCGTGACAGGCTTAACCCTGCCCAGACATGTATCAGCCACCTCCGCCGGCACTGTCACAGATGATGGCTCAGGAGTAATGCATGTTTGGGGATCCCACTTTGGGGGTCACATTCTCCTGGGGACCTGAGGCAGACAGCATGCCCAACCCCAGGTCCAGCTGCTCCTGGACTTGTCACATCTCTACCACCCCTCAGGGCGTCCCCTCGTGGCCCCCCATCTCCTGGCTGCACCGTGGGCCCCCTTTGCTTTGACTATCCAGAGCTAAGCTGACTGCGGACCCTGTGCCACTCTGGCTGGGTCAGGGGTTAGTCCTCTGTTCTCAGATACCATCTGGGGCCCTGTCACCTTTCAGGGGCCCTTGTCCAGGCCACTGGAGTGGGTGGGAAGTGACCCAGATGGCTTCCTAGAGGGGTGGAGCTGAGGCGCGGAGGGATGCTCCTGATGGGGCCCGAAGTGGGGGCTGCATTCCTGTCTTTCCCCCAGCCCTGTCACGGGTTTGCATATTATTAGCATCTGCTAGAGTGGAGCCTGGCCTGGCTCCCCAGCACTCCTGTTCCCTGCGTCTCCCTGGTGGGTACCCCCCACACACCCCGCCCATATCTCTCTAAGGGTCTTCCTTGAGTCAGCAGTCAGGGCCCAGGCCCTGCGTGAGGGACTGACCTCGGTTCCCTGGCTCCCTGAACCACCCGCAGACGCTATGCAGCCGCAGCAGCAGCTCCGTGCCTCTGAGGTCACGTCCAGCAGCTTCCGCCTGGCCTGGCCACCCCTGCTGACCACTGAGTCGGGCTATTACGTGCTGGAACTGGCACCCAGCTCAGAACCGGGAACGACGCGTCGCCAGCAGTTGCCGGGGAACGCCACGGGCTGGGCTTGGGCCGACCTGGACCCCGACACAGACTACGACGTGGCGCTGGTGCCCGAATCCAATGTACACCCCGTGAGGCCGCAGCACCTACGGGTGCGCACGCTACCTGGTGAGGCGGGGGACGCGGGCATGGGGCGTGGGCGCGCGGAGTGAGGGGCGCGGGGACCCGGGCGACGCCCCCACCCACTCACGGGCGCTTCCCCCGCAGAAGAGGCCGGGCCGGAGCGCATCGTCATCTCGCACGTCAGGCCGCACAGCCTGCGCGTGAGCTGGGCCCCGGCGCTGGGCCCGGCCGCCGCGCTCGGCTACCACGTGCAGTTCGGGCCGCTGCGGGGCGGGGCGGCGCAGCGCGTGGACGTGCCCGCGGGCGGCAACAGCACCACGCTGCAGGGCCTGGCGCCCGGCACCGCCTACCTGGTGACCGTCACGGCGGCCTTCCGCTCGGGCCGCGAGAGGGCGATGTCGGCCAAGGCCTGCACGCCCGACAGCGAGCGCAGCCGCGCCCCGCGCCCCCCGCCGCCGCCGGGGGCCCCGGGCCGGGGCCCGTGAGCCGGACACCCTGCGCAGTCGAGGGCCCCTTCTCCCGATCCCCGGTGGGGGAGGCGCCCGCCGCCGAAACCAGAGTCTTGTCCTGGGGGCTGGGGGTGCGGGCCGGGCCTTGGCCGCGTGGCGACTCCGCGTGACCCCCAAGACCGCTCTCCGCGGCCGGAGCCTGACTCCTCGGCCTGACCCACCGCTGCAGCCCTGGCAGCAGCGCTAGCCATCGAGACCTCTCCCCTGCCCGGCCCAGAACTGGACGTTCGGTGGTGTCCTGTGGGCAGGATTTATCGGGGAGATGGATTGGGAGTCAGGGCGCGGGTTGAGAACATCAGACCAGGACAGGCCCAGGACTGGAGGGCGGTGGGGTAGCCGAAACCCCCACTTGTGCGAAGGGCCAGCCCCTCTGGGGCGAGAGCTGGTATCCGGAGCTTGGTCCAGCTGGCCACTCAGGTCCTGGATGTTGATAGAAGGTGAATGGGGGAAGGGGAGGAGCGGGCTCCAGGCAGGTCCCAAAGGCTTTCTGGAGGAGACAGGACTGCCAAAGGGCAGGGAGGAGTGTTGGGAGGTGGACGCTGTGGTCAGCGCCTGGTGGGTTGAAAGGTGGTCTTAACCAGAATGTCCGCTGGTGGCTTGGGGGCAGTGTCTGGTAGAGACAGTGGCCCTGCCTTCCTTTCCTGACCTTGCCGGGCCCAGCTACAGGCACCTTTTGGGACGACCAGAGCCTGGCGTTCATGACCCTGGGGATCACTGGCAGGGACCCTCCTGTTGCTTCTGAGTGGGGTCTTCCATGCTGGGGTGGGGACAGACAAGGTTCCCTTGGGTGGATTCACCCTAGCAATTCTCTGCATGTTCTAACACCTCCCTTCCATCACTACTTACTATTGGGGCCACCAGACCAGTCCCAAGGGCAGACAGTACTACTGTCCCTCAGCCCCACCAGGCACATCCTCTGCCTCTTCCCTACTAACGTCCCACACTTTAAAATACAGTAAATCAGATTTAAACTGAATCCTACGGTCTCCTTAGAATCTTTACTCCTTGTCAAACACCCAGCCCTGTAAAAGGGTAAAGGTCTCGGTGGAGGACCTGTGCGCCAGCTGGTGCTCGGGAAGGGGGGCTTCTGTGACCCCTCCGTGCACCTCCTATTGAGAGAGCCCTGTCTGTTCCTGTGGGCCCGGATTCCGCACTTTGGATGGGGCATGTGCTGGAACGGTGGGGTCTGGCTCTTCAGGGCTGCCCCCAGCCACCTCAGCCTTCTGCCCTCTTCTGGCAAGGTGACGCCCTGAACTGCAATGTGACTTTGCCCCCACGGAGCAGCTGCAGGGTTGAGAGGTGGTCTCCCCGCCCTGACAGTGTTCTGGGGCTGGCGGGGTGTGTGTGTGTGTATCTGCCTTCGCTCTCTGAGTATCACGTGGCCCCTGCCCTGGCGGAAGACCTGCACCACCCACTAGTTCAGTGTGCTAGGCATTGGTGGGGGCCCGCTGTGTGGCAGCCCAGGGTTTGTCTGTGTGACAATGGCATGAGCGACAAAGGCTCCCCTGTCCCACGACCCTGACTGCGTGAGCAGAATGAGCAGATTGGGAAGGGGAGCTGAGGTGGTGGGTCCAGGGCCCTGGGGTAGACGGCAGTGCCTGGCCAGGCCAGACTTGGTTGGGGGCACTCTGTTAGGTGGGTGTTGGATTTCTTCTTCATGTTGCCCAACCTGCTCAAATCAGGCTCAGGGGATCCTGAGTGGGATGGTGGCCTGTGTGTCTGTGGGCTTCTGTTTACACCCCGACTGGTGGTCAGCAGGCAGCCAAGGATCAGAGATTCCTATGAGCTCAGCAGCTGCCCTGTCCTGAGGCTGGTAGGTGTAAACAGCAGGGTCCCAGGGCCTGGGCCTTAAGCTTGATCTACCCCTGAGGGTCAGAATTTCCCTCATGCAAATTGTGCCCCCCACACTGAGCCTTTCAGGTGCTCATGGGTCCAAGACCCCTGGCCACCCAGAGAAGTCCCCCTTCCACATTGAGCCCCTGCCCACTAGCTGGTTTTTTCCAATGGCTCAGTCACCCGTTCGAGACATGCTGAGTGGTGAGTTCCTTTCTCCAAACATGCCTGCAACCCCAAGAGAGGGCAGAACAGCTGAAGACATGCTCATACTCCCTGAAGGGGCTCTGGTTCCCTCATCTCTGCTGGATGCTGAGGCCCAGGGAGAGGGACCCAGCTCCCTTCTCCCTGCCAGAGAATGTCTTCCCGGTGGCCCTTATCTCGGAAGCACCGCCCTTTGCATCACCCCAGGCAGTTCCCGAAGGTCTTGGAATCTGTGCCACATCTGGGAGCAGTCTGGAGGAAACAGTTTTGTCCTGGTCTCCCTCCCTTCCCTGATGTTCAGGCCCAGACCCCTCAGTCCCTCTGGGTTCACACCTGCCAGGACTGACCCTCTCCACACACAGAAGGCAACTGTGGGCCTCCCCACAAACCACGCAAACCTGAAAGGGCTGTGCTGAGGTTGCATCTGCTTGAGATGGTTGAGAACCTCGAAGCAGCAGGCGTGGGCGGGGCTGGGAGGGTCCTGGCCGCTGGGAGGGGACCCAAGGGGAGGCTCCTCCAGCGAATGGGGTGCCCACAGGAGGGCTGTTTTCACAGCTGTGCCTTTTCTACTGACATCCCTCCTTTGATGAGAGATCCGGGGGTTCACCAAGGCTCTCTCATGTTCATTCATTCTCCACGGGGTCTTCCCTGCTGCCCTGGGCTGACCACGTGGCCGGTCATGGCTCTCCAGCTTGTGAGCTCTTGGACAAAAGCTGTCTGTGAGGAGACCAGAAAGCAGCGGGGGTCTGGAGCCCCCATCTCTGTCAGTGAGGTCCACCAGTGGGTGGTGCAGCCAGTGCAGGACTTGGCTCAAGCAGGAGCCGTTTCCATGGCAACAACTCCTGGTACGGGGCATGCCAGTTGCCAGTCCCCAGTCTCTTGCCAGGGCGAGGGGACAGTTTAGGAAAATCAAAACTCAAGTGCACAGTTGTGTGTCTGCTACTTTTTTCTCGGGATGAAAAGTTTTCTTCCAACATCCATTAAAACAAATAAAATGCCAGTGGAATTCGTATGTCCTCGTAGAAGTGAGTATGCTGAGGTGGGGACACAGGGGGACCCTGCCCATTGGTACCCAGTCCGGGCAGGGGGGCTCCTAACCCCACTGCCATTCTCTGGAGGGGCTGAAGTCTCCTGGGCAGGGGCGGGATTTGGCGGGGGCAACCCCTACTTACTGTGTTCTCATTAAAACACCTGCCACTCAACTGCCCACATTTCAGAAATGCAGGTGTGTGCACTCATGACAGATGATAGCGTCTAGCCACCACTGTGAGAGCTTTACCGGAAGAAAAGGCCCCGTCCCCACCAGTGTGGGCAGGGAGAGCCCCTGACCACAGCGCCCACGGGAGTGGAGGCCGTGGCTTCCCTGGGTGATCAGTGCTGCCAGAGAGAGGGTGGAAACTGAGCCGGCCGGCTCCTGCTGCCTCCTCTGCTCCAGGGCCAGCCCTCACTGGACACGAAAGTGCTCCAGGTGAGGCTGGGGGGCTCCTCCTGGGTTGGTCCCACACGTGCCCACTCCCAGCCCCTCCCAGAGGACACCCGGGCTCCCTGAGTGGCCAAGGGGTTTGAGTGACTGCTTCTGAGGTCTTTCCAGACTGTGCAGCTGACCTGCTTTTCTCCTGGGAAGGCAGGTCCAGCTCACCCCTGCAAAGGGCCGGCTGGTGCTCACAGCATGTCTCCTATCATCAGGGCAGGTGGGCAAACAAGTGCCTGGGCCAAGGGCCCCCCACCCCAAGTGCCTCTGGGGATGGCCTGCGCCAACCTTCTACTGGGTGGTTCTCTTTGGACCCAGCTGGCAGGTGGGGGGAGCTTCCATGGAGGACAGGTCGGTGGGCTGGAGCACACAAGCAGGCAACTGCTGACCTAAATATAAACACCTGTGGGAGGACAATCCTGGAGGCGCAGTGAGCTTTGGGTCAGTCCCTCTCCAGTGCTGGGCCCAAGGCAGCAGGTGTCCAAGGGCTCCGTGTGGCTATCCTCATGACCTCTCCTTAACCCCAGGGCCATGGGGAGCATCTGCGGGGGCCCTGTGGAGAGCAAATCAATTCCATAACATGAGAAGCTACTATGAATCAAAGCACAGATACACAAACAAAGGATACAAACCGCAACAGATACACAGTGCTCAGGTATGAGACAGAAGGCAATGTCCAGTCACACAGTAGCTTGACACCTGTCGGATGTGGTGTTCCTGAAGCAGTTTCCAAAGATGGGGCAAAGGACTTTGGTTTACCTGGTTTACAGGTTTGGTCCTTCGCATATTTGCAATTCCAGTCTTAAGATTTGTCCATTTTTGCCCAGCCGATGTGGCTCAGGGGTTGAGCTCCCCTGGTCGATTCCCAGTCAGGGTAGTGAGCTCAATCCCCAGTAGGGGGCATGCAGGAGGCATCCAATTGATGTCTCTCATCCATGTTTCTATCTCTCCCTCTCTAAATAAATAAATAAAACATTTAAAAAAAAATTGTCCATTTTACCTTTAAAACATCTTTTTTTTTTTTTTAA